ACTTCTTGGCATTAAAATTAGAGGTGATCTGCTTGCCTCAGCCTCCCAAAGTGCTGGGATTCCACGAACGAGCCACTGCGCCTGGCCTGGCACCAGTATTTTCTAAAGTTCCCAGATGATTCTGATGTTCAGCCAAAAATACAGTACTCTATACCAGTGGTTCTCAAACTTGAATGTCCATCAGAATCCTCTGGCAGGCTTGTTGAAACACGAATTGTTGTTTGGGCGCAGTGGCTCATGCTTGTAGTCCCAGCACTTTGGGAGGCTGAGGCGGGCAGATGGCTTGAGCTCAGGAGTTCCAGACAAGTCTGGGCAGCATGGGGAAACCCTGTCTCTATAAAAAGTACAAAAATTAGCAGGGCATGGTGGCGCATGCCTGTAGTCCCAGCTAGTTAAGGGGCTGAGGTGGGAGGATTGTTTGAGCTCAGGAGGTCGAGGCTGCAGTGAGTGGTGGTCGCCCCACTGCACTCCAGCCTGGATGACAAAGTGAGACCCTGTCTCAAAAAACAAACCAAAAAAATACAGATTGCTGGGCCCCTCCCCTGGAATGTCTTACTCAGTAGGTCTAGGGTAGATCCTGAGAGTTTGTACTGCCTACAAATTGCCAAGTGATGCTGATTTTGCTGATCCACACACTGGGACCACTGTTCTATACCAAAATCTTAAGGTGGTTTCTCCCGATTTCTTGGTGTGAGTTGTACAAGTGTGCAAATCAGTGTAAAAAGTAGCAGCATGATACAGCGTGATACACTACATCCAAGTGTATCACTTGGATGACAAATTAAGATTCTAGCCCTTAATTTGTCATCAACCAGCCATGTAATCTGGACCTCAAGCTTCTCATCCGCAAAATAGAGAGACTGATTTAATGACCATTAAATCAAAAAGTCTATATCTCATTCAAGTTTTCAGAGTATCAACTAGCTCTGTTATCTCAGATTTGATAAGTGATTATGTGAAATCTAACCCAATATTTCTAAAACATTAGTGGAAGATTTCTCTAGAGTACATTTAATGATTATAAAGCAATACAAACTATTTTTAATCAATAAGCCAGAGCTAATACATCCAAATTAATATCATCTTCATTCTATGTTACCCTGATACACCTAGTCTAATAATGTTGTCTTTCCCAAGATATTTCTGGAACTCTTTAATATATATCAACACCAGTTTTAAGGCCACATACACAAAAAACCAGGGTCATTATTTAAACAATTATACTTCATTGACCAAATCCAGAAATATCCAGTTTTCTCACTCCCATCAACCACCAGACAGCTTCCAAATGACCCTTGGTTATTTGCAAAAAACAAAACCGTCCTAAAAACACACTGTTAGTCATTAGTGAGAAGAAATTCACTTGAGAACTTGATAAAAGATGTGAAACCCTCCATAGAAAAACTATCAGCAAACAAATTTTGATCGCTAGACTCCAGGTTAGAAACTGCTGCCCTAGAAAGACTGAAGATTTACTACTACCAAGAAAATTCACATATGTAGAGGAGACTTGAAAGAAAGCTTTGGGAGCCAACTACTCAGAAGGGAAAAAACATATAACAGAAAAAGCACTGGATTTAGGGTAAGTCACCTCAAGATTTAGATTTAGATTTGGCTGTGTCACTAACCAGTTTTGGACAAAGAAGTAACTTTCCTCCTAGTGTAATTTTTTCATTTGCAGGGAGGGAGAAAAAGGGACTGAGCTGCATCAATAATTCTGTGTGTTCACTGGATGAGCAGCATCACATAGGAGGACCTCTTCAAAAAATGAAAATTCCCAAGTCCCACCCCAGACCTACTCAATCAGAATCTCTGGGGGTGGAGCTTGACCATCGATGTTTTAACAAACCCTCCTGAGGATTCTGATCCACTGCTCAAGTTTGAATACCAAGACAGATGATCTCCAAAGTCCTTTCAAGTTCTCAAATTCTACAATTTATTTGGAAAGCATACTCCGGCAAGTTAAAATGCAAAATAAAAACCATTAGTCTCAGTTATATGTTAAACAAAGATTTAATTTCTAATAAATAAAAGGTTAAAAATGACTATCTTTCCTTATATCCCCCATACGATCCTTAATTAAAAAAAAAATACTAGGTAGTCAAATCTGTGCCATGTGGGCCAATTTTAGCTAAAAAAAAAAAAGAGAGAAAATTCTTAAGCCCAGAGGTAAGGTGGGACAGAAAATACCTGGCTCAGCTTATTTTGAACAGTTACTTTCCTGCCTGGTACTCAAATTATCCTGTGGCTTTTAATAACAAAGTAGTGAGGAAAACAACTAGAATTTATTTTTATCTAAGAACAATAGATACTTCACTTTCAATTAAAACGTGCTCAAGACACCAAAATAACTGTTCTACCCTGGTGCTAGCAAAATGCAGAATGATTCTGAAATTAACACAAATGGTTATGACTGTGATTTCAAATAAGTAGACCAGATATCTGACATGGAACAATTTTTATAAATAAGCAAGGTATATTTAAATAAATATTAAGGAGGTATGATAATGGTATCGTAATTATATACAAAATATACAAAACAGGAAGCCTGGGGTGTGGTGGCTAACACTTGTAATCCCAGGACTTTGGGAGGCCAAGGTAAGTGGATCATTTGAGCTCAGGAGTTCAAGATCAGCTTGGGCGACACAGAGACTCCATCTCTAAATAAAACAAAACAATTAGTCAGGCATGGTTGTGCACATCAGTGGTCCCAAAACCTTGGGTGACTGAGGAAGGAAGACTGTTTGGGCCTGGGTTGAGGCTACAGTGAACTATGACTGCACCACTGTACTCCAGCCTGAGTGACAGAGTGAAACCCTATCTCAAAAAAAAAAAGAGTGTCTTTACCTTTTAAAAATCATATGTTCACATATTAAAAAATGAAGTATGTCACCTGGGGTTTGCTTTAGTATCATCACTGGGAGTTGAGGTAAGGTGAGTGGGTAGGTGGGAGTAAAAGAAACAAGATTGTGAGAAAAGAGTTGAAGTGGATACGAGTATGTGTGGATTCATCTTACTGTTCTCTCTACTTGAAATTGTTTGTTTGTATGTTTGTTTTTGGAGACAGGGTCTCACCCTGGAGTGCAGTGGCACGATCTTGGCTCACTACAACCTCCACCTCCCAGGTTCAAGTGATTATTCTGCCTCAGCCTCCTGAGTAGCTGAGGTTACAGGTGCACACCACCATGTCTTGCTAATTTTATTTTTTTGTATTTTTAGTAGTAGAGACAGGGTTTTGCCGTGTTGGCAGACTGGTCTTGAACTCCTGACCTCAAGTGATCCACTCATCTTGGCCTCCCAAAGTACTGGGATTACAGGTGTGAGCCATCACGCTCAGCCAAAATTCTTTGTAATACAAAGTTGAAAATACATAAATCCAATTCAAATATATATTTTTAAGATTAAAAAAAAGCATATAAAGGATCCTGGTAACAAAGGAATAAACTGGAATGTTAAAAATGTTAGCTCATTCCAAAGAGACGCAACACTGTACCTAAATCTAGTATCTACTAACCAATTACTAAGAAACAAGGATACCATAATACAAACATCCCACTTCCCATGAGATCCAAACTCATGGTGAGAGGGCAAAGGATTGTCCAACCCAAGTAACAGTGACTATGAAGGCTCTCACAAGAATTAATAAAGAAAAACACTCTGGGCCAGGCGTGGTGGCTCATGCCTATAATCCAGCACTTTGGGAGGCCGAGGTTGGTGGATCACCTGAGGTCAAGAGCTCAAGAACAGCCTAGCCAACATGGTGAAACCCCATCTCTACTAAAAATACAAAAAATAGCCAGGTGGGATGGCAGGTACCTGTAGTCCCAGCTACCCTGGAGGCTGAGACAGAAGAATCGCTTGAATCCAGGAGGCAGAGGTTACAGAGATGTGCAGTCCTCATACCACTGCACTCCAGCCTAAGTGGCAGAGTGAGACACTATCTCAAAAAAAAAAAAAAAAAAAACACTCTGAGGGATGTTTCCAAAAATCACGTTTGTACGTATTTGTAAGCATAGTTTTAAACAACTGGAGTCTTTTAAAATGTATTCAGTTCTGTGTCCCAGCACTGTCATTTACAAGTGTTTTATTTTTATTTTTTTGCATCAAAGAACCAACTCATAGAGAAAGCTGCATGGCAGCATCCTGCAACAATAAAAACTGTGAAACTGGCCCAAACTTCTCACATTATTCAAACATTGAATCTTACAGTCAAATAAAATGGTAATTCTGAGAACTTTCTCTATTAAACCACCAAGTTCTCAAATTTGATAGTGGCTTTTATGAAGCAGAAAATGAAATACAAGCTGGGTACAGTGGCTCACACCTATAACCCCAGTACTTTGGGAGGCCAAGGCAGGAGGACTGCTTGAGCCCAGGAGTTCGAGACTAGCCTAGGCAAAAAAACTTTTTGTAGAGACCTCATCTCTACAAAAAATTTAAAAATCAGCTGAGTATGGTGGCATGTACCCATGGTCCTAGCTACTTGGGAGGCTAAGGTGGGAGGGTTGCTGGACCCTAGGAGGTTAAAGCTGCTATGGGTTATGAAGGCACCATTGCACACCAGCCTGAGTGACAGAGTGAGTCTTAAAAAAAAGAAAAAAATAGTTTGCTTTCCCTCTCACACCAATGACCTACAACAGTTAACTATGGGAAGCAGTTTTTAGCCACTAATTACTGTTCACTGATAAAATAGTGATAATGGTCACTACATAAACCAGCAAATCTCTAGAGCAGCACTGTCCAACAGAACTTTCTGTGATGATGGAAATGTTCTATATTCCATGCTTTTAAATACAGTAAATACCTTGTAGCCACATGGTAGCTATTGGATACTTGAAGTATTGCTAATGAGACTAAGGAACTACATTTTAAATTTTACTTAAATTTTAATTCATTTAAATATCCATATGTGGCTAGTACCTAACATACTGCCCATTATGGTAGTCCCTAGCCAAATTGGAGCTCTAGAGTACCTAAGAAAAGAAACACACACACGTACATTTCACCTAATATCTAACTCACATTTATTAAAAATTGAAGATTACAGAAAAGCATGAATAAGATTGGCATCATTAAGCAAGCTTAACTTACCTTTTGACTAATAAATGAAAGTATTTAATAACACTAAAGGATTTTTGAGAATAAGGTCTATTTCAACCTTACAAATTAAAAACAAAAGCAAAGCAGCTATTCTTCAAAGGAGAAAGCAACCACAGATCTCCCTCTAGTGGCAAAAGATAAAGTTGCTGCTGAAAAGCTCAATTGCTCCTCTATACATAAAACTGCTCAGACATTTTCTTTTATAAAATTCTAACTTGGGGCCGGCGCAGTGGCTCAAGCCTGTAATCCCAGCACTTTGGGAGGCCGAGGCGGGTGGATCACGAGGTCAAGAGATCAAGATCATCCTGGTCAACATGATGAAACCCCGTATCTACTAAAAATACAAAAAATCAGCTGGGCATGGTGGTGCGTGCCTGTAATACCAGCTACTCAGGAGGCTGAGGCAGGAGAATTGCCTGAACCCAGGAGGCGGAGGTTGCGGTGAGCCGAGATCGCGCCAATGCACTCTAGCCTGGGTAACAAGAGCGAAACTCCGTCTCAAAAAAAAAAAAACAAAAAAAAATTCTAACTTAAGATTCTAAATCAATATATAAGGAAAATCTATTTTTTGTCAACAAAAATAAGACCTGCTTCCCAGTAATAGTATGGATTTTTAAAAATTAGACATAATTTTCACCTACTATGAATGCTAACCTCTCTAGAAATCTGATCTCTCCAGAAAAAAGTATTTTGCCAATGATATTTGGGTATCTGGGGCTTTCACCAAATAAAGGTTTATAAAGCCATAACCAAACTGTGAGCATAAGAAATGGAAGCAGTTCTTCTCTGTTGGTAAATACTCTGGGATAGAGCATGAAAGGAGCTTATTCAGAATATAAGTTGTAAGCAGCAGTGAGTGGGGTTTGAAACAACTCAGGGTACATCAAAAGAAACAGTATGATATTATAAGAGTTCTTAACCAAAACAACACTTTTCATTCTGGTATTCAGTTTCAAAGACAGCTCTGCCACATCGCCAGTTTTAATTGCAACCATACACACTCATTTGGATTTCACTATTGAACTACTTTTAAGTACAAGAAGGAACTCAAAATAGAAACGACTTGTGATACAGCTATTGTTATTCCCTCACAGCTTCAGGGAAAACAGGCTTTATATACACTGTAGTAAGTACAGAATGTACAGAAGACAGGTATATATACAAAAGTGCATTAATGTAGTAATACCTTTAGCAGGAATACAGGAAAAAAAATCCTGGTTAACAATCTGATACATTACAGCATTTATGACTACTTGAAGATTCTCCAAACCAGTCAACTTCCTACTTGCTTTGGTTATGATATTGCTGCTACATAACTAATCTTTGAAACTAAAAAGCAAAAGAACAAAAACAAACCCACAATTTGAAATTTTTACCCATCTGTGAATTGTTTTGCATTTACTTGTGTTTATTATTAATAGTTTTTGATAACAGTCCTTAAATTCCCAATGCAAAGATTCAGAATAGATAATACTTGGTTAGAGTACTCAAATAGGAAATTAAATGGATCCACTACAGGAAAAGACATTACCGCTCCATTGCTAAAAGCCTCAGGTAGATAACCTAACCACAAACCTCAAATTCAGTCTCAATTTAAATCCAACAGGTCAGCTACTGTTAAAAGCCAGCAGCTCCACAAAACAAGTCATGGCTTCAGACCACTGTTCTTTAGAACAATTCAGAATAGTAAGTGTTAACTTGTTTTTTATAAATATAGTCTACAACTACCTTTACGTAGTTAAAATGTATATGCATAATTAGAGCAAGTCTCTTTTTCTCCTCCATCCCTCACCACAAAAATGAACACAAATTTCCACAGGTTTTCTTGGCCACAAAGATGTAACAAAGAAATCTGACAATTAAGAAAAGTACTATATATTGAATGTAGAGAAGACAAAATAAGTTTTTCTGAGTTTGGTAGGGGTGTCAAATTAAAATTTAATTTGCTGTTATATATGATCTAGGTTAAAACACTACCTTTATTTAAAAAAATAACTGGAGGGAAAGCCAAAAATAAATAATTTTGTGTTAAAAAACAGGAAAATAAAATTTTAGTGAGTCAACTCAGATCTTCAGCTGTACCATGCAACTTCCTTATTTTTAATGGCCATTTAGAAGAATTTTCAGAGTTCCTTCTAAGCCTTTTGGAATAAGTAAATTATTTTCCAAAGAAATAAGACCTAAGCATTATAAGTAGCTATGTTCCAGATACTATGCTAACAAAGATGCCTAGCTTAAAATATCTCAGATTATTTTTATTCACTTAGCATAATTTTATCTTTAAGACAAAGTTTATCTTACTTTATCAGACTTAAAATGAATCCAAAGTTACCACAGTACATGTGTATACAAATACTTATTTCCTAATAGTACTTTTCATGATTAAATTTACTTCTAGTTCAGACATGTTGAATGAGTCAGTAACACTCAACATCAACACTATCACTTAAATGCAACTGGGGATTTTCCTATTAATCGTCCCAAACTATAAACAAACTGTGAGTACCCTCCACCAATTCCAAACAAATGTTTTCCTTGAAGACAGAAGTGCTAAAAGGTCATTTGTTAAACTAAAGGAGTGTGTTCCAGCTATTACACAAATGAATTTGAAGAATTCCTAGAGAATCAACTTGCTATGTAATCTCTGTCCTTAAGTGCTTTTGTCTGTACCCTGAAAATTATCTTTCCAGATATTAAAAGTGATCTGGTTTGAAGAAGTATCATGGCATATGATCTTTTTCAGAGATAAAAAAAATACATTAAGCCACACTTTAGATAACTTTCAAGGCTCTTCAATGATCTTGCTAGGCCAAAAATAACATTACGCAAATGAAATTTAAGATTTGAAGGTTTTTGGTTTTATACTCTATTACCATCGATTGGTTCAATTTAATGGCTTTGCTTACTGATATCTAATTCCATGGGCATTATGCAAAACAAGTTACAACACTTGGATTGTTTTTGAGTTTTGAAAAGCCTGATATTGACAAAAAGTACAGAGTTCACCCCTTTAAGGCACATGAGGCTACACAGAGTAAGCCACAAACAAAAAGTCTCTGCTGGAGAACCCAGAAACAAACAAGACTTCCATATTGGTTGTATATTAAATTCCTGGCTAAAATATGAAGACACTTGCTATATTTCATAATTTTTAAAGATCATCGGAATCCGGATACCTTTACATAGTAGTTTCCTGTAATTTTTCCTTTATGAGAGGATTTAGCACTTTTAAAAGCTAAATAAAATGAGAAGTTCACCCAATCTATAAAGAGTCATTATTTTATAAGTCAGTTTCTGAGATTAATTCAGCAATATCTAATTTATCCAAGGGATAGAGGAACTGGACAAATCTTCCATAGTCTAACAAAAATGAGGTAAGTCTCACGAAAAAAAAAATGTTATTTTAATTCTAAGTTCTTGTTGGGACAGAATGAGGCCCTTTATGCCTCACTACACATTATAACACACCACCTTCCTTTAATTCAGTTGCAAAACTATAGAAAAATATTATATATGTTGTTTTGTTAAATGCAAGTCTCATCCTTTAAAAAAGCTGTGGTAGGAACTGAGATACACTATAAGATCGCTAATAAAATGTTTCTGGATAAATCTGTGGGAAATTTATTACGCCCTCAGTTAACAAGATTTATTTTCAAAAGGGAGACTTAAAATGTGCTCCAATGTCAGTTCTCTACAGATGAGAACCAATACTAGAGCAAGTAAGTCTAGCTTTATTAACTGGTTAGTTAGCATTTGTATTTAAATTAATATAATAATTTACTAGGTTAGATTGTTTTAAATTGAAATAATCTACTGAATTATTTTAAATTGAACTCAGATATACCATATTGAATAAATTATTACTTGCTCCAAGAAAAAAAGCAGTTCAAACTTTGTATTATCTATATGAGATATTAAAACAGAAAAGAAGTATAGCACATGAACAGAGACAAAAGAGCTTTCTATGTCTTTTTCTGCTAGTTTCTTTTTTGGGGGGACAGAAGACTATTTAATCTCCCTCTTGGATCATAAGCAAGCCCAACTTATTTAATTATTTTCTTTTAATCAAAGGAAATATTTTCAATCGCCTTCAACCCAACTTTATGGACGATCTCTAATTTATAGTACTATAATGACACTGTGTAAATCTGGATTTACACAAAATTTCATGATGCACTTCTATAAACATTCAAAACTTTAGAAACTTTAAAAATTGACTTTGGGGCACTTTGGTAAACTTGTTTACTAGTGACTCAAGTTAAACTGAAAGTAATAAGACTCTGTGATTATTGGGAGAGTAGAGGAGTTTATCTTAAATTACATCATGACCTTGTTTAAGATTTCATTTTACTGGTCACTGTAAAGTAAATCGTTTCTAACCATTTGAACAGATAATGCTGCTCTATGGTCTCCAAAAGTGGTCTGTTTCCCTTGAAGAATAAATAGGTATAGATGGCAGGCAATCATTTTGTGGGATTTTGCTTTTGCTGAGAGCAGGTAGAGAACTTAGATACAGTTACTCTGCTCTCTTTCTACACTTGGAAGGGAAAACAATGAGGTTAAGTTGTTCCATCTCCACAGAATATTCTGGTGTCTATCCCCAAGCTCTCTTTGGGTCCTCTAAGCTGGTTAGGAGAACCAAAGAAGGGGAGGGGGAAAGTAAGGACTACTCCAATTGAAAGCCATAGGCACATATATGTTTTATTTTAGTAAAAATTTCAAATGAGGGTTATGGCCGTACCACAGACCTTGGCAAAGCTGCAATGTATTAATTTTTATCCTCAGTTTTCATTCTTTAACCTTTAGGAACCAAAATGAAATCAAAATTTTAAAACATGATTACAAGCCTTTGTATCAACTGAGAATTAAGAATTTAAGTCATGAATCTTTTTCTTAATAAGCTACTTGACATAACAAAAAGTAAAAAAAAAGTAGAAATCTAATTAACCTCTGTACTCTAGAGTTTGAAAAATATTGATTACAGCTCTTCCTACAGAATCACGATCACCTTCAAAACGCTATCCACAATATGAAAATTATGAAAGCCAGAAAGCAGCTTGATTGTCAGTAGTATCAGTTTCCATCTTCAACCCATGTGAATGTTCAAGACATGTGGTAGAAGAAAAGGAATCACTCTATTTCTAATGTTCATAACAAACTCTCTATGAAAACATTTAAAGAAACTCTATGATTTCACAGTTAAAATTAGAGCTCTATTAATAACCAACAAGCTAAGGTGTTTTCTGTATCTCATTGCTCTGTATGTTTCTAGCAATTTATAGAGAAGTTTAGCAGAACTATAAGGGTTTTCATCAGTTAATTTTCAACATTTTTAACTAGGTCACATGCCAGAAGATGTTACACCAAATATTTAAAAATTAGAGCTGTGCTGAAAAAAAAATTACTACAATAAGAACATGAGAGAGATATAGACTGATTTCCTGCCTGAGACAATTTTACAGCCTAAAATTTCTGAAAGCAACAGAAAAGCAGAATTGCTTATTTTGCCTAATTACTTTCACCATTTAAATATTAATCAACATAGTATCAAGTCTAAAATTTGGCTACTAGTAACACTGTTTCATTAGTAGTCATCACTTAACAAAAAAGGATTCTGAACTTATATAAAGTAAAAAACAAAAACAAATCTAATGGGAAAAAGACTAGGGCCTGTTCTTATACCTTTGAGTCAATAACGAATGAAAACAGACAGAACTAAACCTAATGAAGGCACTACAGTAAACAGCAATCCACACCTTGCCCACCCCCACACCTCAGAATAAGATTTCCACCAGGAATCAAGAATTATGCTATGGTCCTTTAGGAAAAGTAAACTAAGAAATCATAACATTAAGAAGGGAACTAAATTGCGATCTCTACGCATGTATTTATACTGACATAATAAACTGTCAGCAGTACCTTGAAATCTTCTAAACAGTATATGTACTAGTCTTTGAAGAAGCCCACTTCACCACCATAAACTTTAAACAGTCAAAACATTTACTCAAGTCGTGGTTCTTAAACTAGAGTGTGCATCAGAATAACCCTGCACTTGTTAAGAAACAATGCTAGGCACCTCCCTGTTGGTTTCTGATTCACTAAGTCTGAGTGTGGGGCCCACTAGTATGCATTCATACCAACTTCTCAGGTGATGCTAAAGCTGCAGGTCCTGGGACCACCTGCCAAGAACCACTGGCCTAAATTATTAATGGTATATCAGCACAGCCCTAACCAAAATTTTGGTCAGGAAGCATGTAAACCAATAAGGATGGAGTATGTTAATGCTCACAAAGAACGCTGATAAATTCACCCTTATTACATCAAAACATCAACATCTGCTTCATGGTCTTCCTCAGTCACTTTCAAGGACAGCACCTCTTCATTAAGGAAGAGCCCACTGAGCCTCTCCTTCCGGGCCTGCCTCTGCTCCTTCAGCTGCCTCTTGCGGAAGGCCTTCTGCTGTAACTTCCGCTGCTTGGATCGCTTCTGTCAAAATAAAAATTTCTAAATCAGTAAGGTTTAGTTTTTTGCATATCTACCCCAAAATGTTTTATGGATCAAATTCTCTATTTTCTAACTTTAAGAGCTGTTCAAATCCTTCTGTAGTATGAACCTTGTTCCAATAAGTGAGCCACTGGCTTAGGCTTAAAATGATTCTTTAAGATTCTAATTTTGTGCTATTTGACAGTGACTCTTTGGTTAGGAAAGGTTGAGGCAATCATTTTGGCTAGTGATGTGTAACAAGTCACTTCAAAGACTTCTCTTTTAAATTCAATTAAAGTACGTTGGTGTAAATGCAGAGTGAACACACAATTAATATTAGGGGACAATCCTGAATATAAATGTAGAAAGCATTGCCTAAATCTCTAATGCTTATGAGTCTCAGGTGCCTTTCATCCAAAAACACTAGCAATCTTACAATGGCAGCGAAAAAAAATCATGCCTTTTTCGTATTAGGCAAATATCATCTTTAAAACCCATCAGAGGCTGGGGGCGGTGTTTCATACCTGTAATCCCAGCACTTTGGGAGGTTGAGGCAGGCAGATCATGAGGTCAGGAGTTCCAGACCATCCTGGCCAACACGGTAGAACCCCGTCTCTACTAAAAATACAAAAATTAGCTGGGCATGGCAGCACACGCTTGTAGTCCCAGCTACTCCGGAGGCTGAGGCAGGAGAATTGCTTGAACCAAGGAGGCGGAGATTGCAGTGCGCCGAGATCGCCCTACTGCATTACAGCCTGGGCGACAGTGCGAGACTCTGTCTCAAAAAAAAAAAAAAAAAAAAAACCCCACCAGAAGCTCAGTGGGTACTCCCATCCTTGTCACTGGTGAACTGATACTAAAAAGAAATGACCACTTATCTAGAAAAATTCCTTAGCAACCAACAAAGCTAGCTATGTTTCTGCTACTTCCGAGTCACCACTGGTTCACTAAAGAGTTAAAGAGATTGTCTTATCATCTTTAAACTGGCTCCAGATTCTTGCCATTGCAAGGACTCGAACTCCCCTGCTAAGCCACAGGGCCATTCTAAATATACTTACACCTTCTTTTTTTTAAGTGCCCGACATTATTATACAGAATTTTCTCAATTGTGAAAAGAGTAGAAATTAGAGAAAATATTATATTTTTAAACTAGCTAAGAAGAAACATTCAAGATTAAAACATTAAGAAAACATTTAACACACACAAGACATACAAAACATTCTTAGGAGCTAATAGACAGCAACATCAGCAACATAGTGAGATTCGCTCAGTAGTGAGTTGCAGTCAATATTGCAATCTTGAGAATAACTCATTATTTCCACCAATTTATCTTACTTAAAACAGACACAAAAATCAGATAAAATTGAATGCAATATGGTTTTCGGTCAAAACAGCATTTCACAGCACTCAGCCTAGAGTGCTTGGTTCAACAGCAGAGCATCCTGCTTGTTCAATTAAGACCAAAACCCACAGGCATCTAGATAGCAGGATCATTTAAACTCTTCAAGAAATTTATATGAAGGAGTGCTAATGTTAATATTGAAAGGTAAAGTTCTGTATTGATTAGACGTTTTACTTTTGAATCCCGAATCCGCTCTGCTGCACTTGCAGACAGGTTGCTGTCACTGTGTGCTCGACTCATGTTGGCACTGGAGTTTGAAGCAGAGTTTCCAACACTGGACCCACTGCTGCTTGCAGAACTGACCATGCTGGCACTGCTGCTGCTGGCGCTGGCACTGGCACCGCTCACTCCACTGGTGCTTGCACAACTAAAGTTGCTTCTCTTCCAGGCCTCTCTTGCAGGCCGTTGGCGAGGGCTATGCTCCTTGATATAGTTTCTGACCTTGGGACGCACAAACAGAAACTGGTTAGTGTTGAACCTTGATGGTTCTACCTTCAAAATCCTGGGGAAAAAATCATACTGCACTTGATCTAATAGATTGTCAAAAGTGCTGCAGATGCATATATAAGGTAGAACAGAAAGGCTAAATTTAGAAACAAGTACAAGAAAACATGGACAATGTTCAAAATTCTAGAAAACATGTTATAGAGCTGGATTTTAAAAGCACATAAAATATAATCAGTAAATGGAAGGCTACTGGCATTCATAATTTAAGACTATAAAAAAAATAGCACTCAAAATAGAAATTAACAATAAAAGAAAATAGATGAGATGAGGCATTTGTTAAAGGTATCCACTTAAGAAAATTTAAGTAAGTTGCTGATTTTATCTAAGATTAAGGTATTTCCATCTTAGCTAGGGGCCAATGGTACCTGTCTTCAAATGCAAGACATCAATTTACCATATTAATGAAAAATTTGCTGGAATGTAGAAAATTACAGTATGACTGCTGGGAGAAATACTGAAATGAGAGAAATTTTTCATAAATAATCATAAAGGCAAAACAAGAAACAAATCAAAAGTAGAACATAAGAACCTAAGTATTCATTCAGCTATGTACCAGAGAAAAAGAACAGCAAAAATTGTATTTAGAAGATACCAGAGGCTGGGTGTGGTGATTCACACCCATTAATTCCTGCACTTTGGGAAGCCAAGGTGGGTGGATCATGAGGTCAGGAGTTCAAGACCAGCCTGGCCAAGATGGTGAAACCCTGTCTCTACTAAAAATACAAAAATTAGCTGGGTGTGGTGGCAGGTGCCTGTAATCCCAGCTACTCAGGAGGCTGAGGCAGGGGAATCACTTGAACCTGGGTAGCAGAGGTTGCAATGAGTCAGCTCATTGCGCCAGTGCACTGCACTCCAGCCTGAGCGACAGAGTGAGACTCCATCTCCCCCCACCCCCCAAAAAAAAAGAGAGAGAGAGAGAGAGAGAGAGCGAAAGAGAGAAGATACCAGAGATACATATTTCTGAACAGCAGAGGGAAAATTCACTAGGTTTCACCCTAGCCTGGCTCAATTATTACTCTATAAACCTTCTGAAATCCCTCAGTTCAGATGTTTACCAAAGAATAGCTCTCATTAATTAGTATTTTGATTGTCAATTAGTCACCTGTAAACTGAGTCAGAATAAATCTATATCTTAACCTAACCACCCCTTAACCTAACCACCCCATAAGTGGTGACATTAAATTTCAAAGCCTAGACAACTGAAGATTAGGTTCTAGATTTACACTGATCCCAGAAAGGTACTAGCAGGTGAGATGTACATAAAACCTCTCAAAACTATGGAACATCATTTTTCTAATATTACCTTTCACAGCAGTGATTTGGCCTTAATTATCTATGTATTTAAATATGATTATTCAAGTCTACATTTTATAAGACAGTGGTATTTTAATAGGTAAATAATGTATATTTTCTTTACTATACCTGCTTCAGTTTTTCATCTGTGAGACAGTTAAGTTCAATAATAAACTCACTGTCTGTGGGGGAGATTTGGGCAGAAGGATCAATGATCTTAATAATATCAAGTTGCTCCCGAAGACCCATCTCAGTACTCACTTTCCGACTCAGATACTCAATATATTCCACCTATGTGATGAAAAATTACAACAAACAAGATCATTGCTAAAACTTCTGATCCTTTATGTCAATTATAATGTATTTACATATCAGAAGCACTGAAGGTTATATTTGTTCCCTGAAAAACAGTTAAAGCTCAAATTCAGATTTACTAAGCAATCCACATTTCCCAGTAGCTTTAAACAGGCAATAAACTGAGCTTCACCTTGTCTCCACATGAGCTTTTAATTAAGAATGTCAAGATCTTTACCTGCTCATCATTTGTCATTGCACTCCAAGGGAGTTCATCTAAATTCCGGTGCTTGTTTTTCTTTTTAGGAAGCAGGCAAGGTGAACTTGGAATACTGGGTATGACATCAGAAAGTACATCACTCCCACTGGCAATATCACTCCCTGGTAACTTTATAAAAATAAGGAGGGTAGGGGGAGAGAAAGCAAAATTTTTTCAGACTACATTTGAAATACCAGAATATATTTTCAACATTTAAAGTTACTTGTAATGAGACTGACTGCTGCCAGCTGTGCTAAGAGGGCTTCCTTAAACTTTTAACATAAGACTAATGGCAGCTGGGCACAGTGGTTCACTCCTGTAATTCCAGCACTTTGGGAGGCCGGAGGCGGGCGCATCACCTGAGGTCAGGAGTTCGAGACCAGCCCAGCCAACACGGTGAAACCCTGTCTCTACTAAAAACACAAAAAATAGCTGGGCGTGGTGGCGTGTGCCTACAGTCCCAGCTACTTGGAAGGCTGAGGCAGGAGAATCACTTGAACCCAGGAGGTGGAGGTTGCAGTGAGGGAGACTGTGCCACTCCACTCCAGCTTGGACAACAGAGTGAGACTACATCTCAGAAAACAAAACAAAACAAAAAAACACTAATGGCAAATATAGAATCAGAGGATATTAACTCCGATCCATGCCTATTTATACAAAGCAGCAATATAATATATATTCTTTGCATATATTTATTCAATGAAAGATGTTTTTGAAAAGCTTAGACTCGTAATCAAGACTTATTAAAATGGCAACTGAAGAGTTGATCATCACTAAAGTTTTTAATGTATAATGATAATCTGAGGAGGGCCTCCATACTGTAATGAATAAGCAGCACTGGTCTCCATCTGGGAAGACCCAAATGATATGCCACTAACTGGCTTTTTGCCAGAGACTGTGCTAAACATACTGTCAATATAAAGACAAATACATCTTGGTCCTTGTTCTCAGTCTGTATTAGTGACCTCAAGACAATTAAAATAAATTAAAGCCAGGTAAAGTAGCTCACGCCTGTAATCCTAGCACTTTTGTGAGGCTGAAGCAGGAGGACTGCTTGAGCCCAGGAATTCAAGACCAGTCTAGGCAATGTGGCAAGACCCGTCTCTATTAAAAAAAAAAAAAATTCATGACTGTAATCGCACAACTTTGTAAGGCTGAGGTGGGAGAATCACTTGGGCCCAGGAGTTCGAGAGCAGTCTGGCCAACATAGCGAGACCTCATCTCTATTAAAAAAAAAAAAATAGCTGGGTGTGGTGGTGCATGCCTGTGGTCTCAGCTACTCAGGAGGCTGAGGTGGGAAGATCGCTTGAACCTGGTAGGTTTAGGCTACAGTGAGACATGTTTGTGCCACTGCATGCCAGCCTGGACAACAGAGTGAGACTTGGTCTCAAAAAATAAATAAATAATAAAATAATTTTAAATATGTTGTTAATATAAAGCAAAACACTTTAAGGACCAGAAGCATTATAAGAGAAAAATTATAAAAACATCATATAAGACAAAGTGTAGACAAGAGAAGGAGAAATAAAAGCAAGTCTAACATACAGAAAATCAACTTAAAGTGAGATAAACAGCAAAAATATGTGCTATAATTTTATACATACTTATGTGTATTTTTGCACTTAGGCATATACTCATATAGTCATCACCAGGACCAAGGTAATAAATATATCCATTACCTCCAAAAGTTAGAATGGATTTAATTTTAATAAATGTATTTAAGTCATTCATCAAAAAGATAAAATCTTTTCTTCTATAAGGAACACATGACAATTTTCATATATACTGACTTCATTTTTACAAGGTATAAAACAGCACCTTTTGTTGTTTTTTGGTTCTATATAGTTTGCAATTGCATCTGAACTCTGGATGATTTCTTGGCTTTTGCGATTACCCAAAAAGAAGAGCTACATTAGTCATGAAGATGATTTTGATCCCATGTATTAGAACTCCTACTGTGTACACAGCAGTATAATAGGTACAGGGGATTCAAATGAGTGTTAAGTTCTTACACAAAAACTTTACTTGGGAAAGTAATACAACAACACAAACATATAATTATACAACACAGCACATGATGAATGCTGGGTTTGAGATGACAGGTCACCAATGGAAATATCTAGCAGTGGGTTGAAGCTGCAGGATTAACTTTTGGGAGAGCTGCAACAGACTGCAGGCAGGCACTGGGGAATCAATCACAAAGTAATAAATGAAACCACAAAGACAGGAGTCAATCACTATGCAAAAGATGACTATGATGTTTACAATGAAATTGTCAAAGACAGAGGCCATTCTTTCTATGTCCCCTTAAGTAGCTACTACTCTTAAAAACCACATTTTCACTATGAAAGTTTTTGACAAATCCAAATACATAAGTGACTACCAACAATCTGTATTACTTCTTTTAAAATCTCAGTAAGGGACAGGTACAGTGGCTCATACCTGTAATCTCAGCACTTTGGGAGGCAGAAGTGGGAGTATCACCTGAGGTCAGGAGTTCAAGACCATCCTGGCCAACATGACAAAACCCCATCTCTACCAAAAACACAAAAATTAGCTGGGTGTGGTGGTGCGTGCCTGTAATTCCAGCTACTCAGGAGGCTGAAGTAGGAGAATCACTTGAACCCAAGAGGCCGAGGTTGCAGTGAGCAGAGATTGTGCCACTGCACTTCAGCCTGGGAGACAGAGGGACTATCTCAAAAAAAACAAAACAAAACAAAACATAAAATCTCATTAACTAACACTGCTTGTAACTGTTCATCCTTGACCATAATGTTATCTAGTTGGTGTTATGAAAGGATGATTGCTGAATGCACATACGAATGCCATCTTTTTTTTCAGCCTTTAATGGCAAAAAAGAAAATGCTTTGCTATTTCCCCTTTGACTTCAAATCACATCAGAAATCTCCCTGTGGCCCCTAAAACAAAATGAGATACTTCTTATCAGATAAAAGGCCTTCCCTACATCATGCTCCTTCAATAAATGAGGCAAAAGTAGGAACTCTTGAAATATCTATACTTTCAAAATATAAGAAAAAAATTCACCTAAATCTTCCTAGAGTATCTGCTAGGCACTTAAATCAGTACCTTTACTTCTATTTATGTGTCTGATGGGGATGGAGGGGTGTAAAAAAGATAATTAATGGAACCTTGGCCATTTTTTTCAGGGAGAAGTAAAAAGATCCCAGAGTTCAAATGCCGGCTCCACTGCTCACTAGCAGTGTGACCTTGTGTAGGCTAGTTTCTTTGAGCCTCAGAGTTTGGAGTAAAATGTGGTTAGTACCATCAATCTCAAAGCACTGTTGAGTGGTTTAAATGTGGTAACATGCCTGGCACACAGGCAACACTCAATAAAGAGATGTACTTTTCTTTTTCCATCCTTTGCCATGGTTTTGGACCCTTTAAAAAAAGTAGCACAATCCCTAAGAGAATGTCACATGTTGCTCAAGTGCCTGGGTTGTTTCACAAGATAGTGTTTAAGAATGATAGGGGAAAAAGGAAAAGGCATTCAGGTAAGGTGTATAATTTAGTAAAGTCAAAAATGGGGAAAACATAGTGTGAGGTGACATATATCCTAGAAATCATATATCATTATCATTTAATCATGCCAAATTTAATTAACACAGAAAATCATGCTAGGGATTTGAAAGTTCAACAGAAGAACCAGAAACTGTCATATGATATGTAGAAGTGAATAGATAACATTTTCTAAGAAGTAACTTGATGAAACTGGTCTTTGGGAAGATTAGTTAAAAAGCACCATGGGGAAAAAATAGAGTGAGGGACGACTGAAATTAGATAGGAAGCTCTTGTAATCGAGGCCTGGATCAAAATAAGCAAAACTGGAAAGAAAAATGGGCATAGGAAAAATGTCACATGAAAACAATTTACAGTTATTGAGGTCTTTAAGTGTATCACTCTGGGTGCAGTGCAGTGACTCACACCTGTAATCCCAGCACTTTGGGAGGCAGAGGCAGGCGGATCACAAGGTCAGTAGTTCAAGACCAGCCTGGCCAATATGGTGAAACCCTGTCTCTACCAAAAATACAAAAATTAGCTGGGCATGGTGGCATGCACCTGTAGTCCCAGCTACTTGGGAGGCTGGGGCAGGAGAAGCACTTGAACCCAGGAGGCAGAGGTTGCAGTGAACCAAGATTGGCATTCCAGCCTGGGTGACAGAGTGAGACTACATCTCAAAAAAAAAAAGAAAGAAAATTTATGAAGCTGTTTGATAACTGAATGGATAAGGTAAAAAAGAGTCTCGTTTTGAGACCAGAAAAAAAACTGGTGACATTTCAGGTCATACAACCCACCAAGAGTGATATACTTAAAGACCTCAATTTTCACAGCAAGGTAACTGAAAAGATGTTACAGATCTTCTATTCAACACCCTCATTTTACATATAAGAAAAAATGATGTCTGGGGAGGGTCATACAAATAGTGGCAGAATCCGAAGTAGGACAAAAATCTAATGTTTTCAACTATGCCAGATAGTTTTGCCTGTCTGGCAAGTTTGTAATAAGAGAGGAATGCAATTTGGGATACAGAGGGTTTGTAGTGATATCAGGAGAAGCAAGCACAAGTGTCCTTTGGACGGACAATAGTAATTTTTCACTAAGTTTGAAGACATGTCGGCCAGGTGTGGTGGCTCATGCCTGTAATCCCAGCACTTTGCGAGGCCGAGGCTGGCAGATCACAAGGCCAAGAGATCAAGACCACCCTGGCCAACATGGTGAAACCCCCTCTCTACTAAAAAAAAAAAAAAAAAAAAAAAAAAAGTACAAAAAATTAGCCAGGAGGCCAGGCGCGGTGGCTCAAGCCTGTAATCCCAGCACTTTGGGAGGCCAAGGCAGGTGGATCACGAGAGATCGAGACCATCCTGGTCAACATGGTGAAACCCTGTCTCTACTAAAAATACAAAAAATTAGCTGGGCATGGTAGTGCGTGCCTGTAATCCCAGCTACTCAGGAGGCTGAGGCAGGAGAACTGCCTGAACCCAGGAGGCGGAGGTTGCGGGGAGCCGAGATCGCGCCATTGCACTCCAGCCTGGGTAACAAGAGCAAAACTCCGTCTCAAAAAAAAAAAAAAAAAAAAAAATTAGCCAGGTGTGGTGGTGCATGCCTGTAGT